TCAGTCAGGACGACTTGTTCATTATTTTTCAACAGTCGTTCATTTTTAAAATGGCGTAAAATTGTATTTTGTATTCGCTCAATGAAGAAGAAAGTAACCGCATCCTATTTCAAAGTTGAAAAGCCACACAATAATCACTACTAAGGATGTAACGAACACAAACCTATCATGTAAATAACTTTACTGCTCATATGGAAACACACACAGAATATAGTAAACTGATTTACAGGTCCATGGTAGATCTCATTTTCGCAGGATGTATTTTATGAAAGGTTCTGCCCAGCTGTTTCAACCATGTTCGTTTACCCAAAGCGTCAATGTAGCCCGTACTTGAAGATACATGTCTATGGCTGACTAACATGTAGTAATCAAAGTCGTTTCAATTCCCTTCACCATTTTACTTGACTGGACACAATTGTAAGTTCACTTAAATGTGGAAGTGTGCCGCGGGCATATTAAATCATCCTATACTTGGATTCTAAAAGGCCAAGTAAAGTCAACATGGCAACTTTGCAGATTTTAATACTTTAGGGCATACTTACTGGCTAAAATTGAATTTGAGAAACGGAAATAGCGTAAAACAGACGATTATGAACGACAGGCGAAATCGGCATCCAAACGAAAATTTCCGCCACTGAGGGGATTCCTCTTACTGGGGTTAAAACGGGTTCTCTGTATTTGATGCTCTGGTCAATTTCAACGAGCATGACGATTGGGCCGGCGCCCGGTCTGCCTGTCTGCTCATCCATTTGATTACCGTGTCCAAAACTTATGTCACCTCAGTAACAAGACTGAAGATGCCTTCAGTTGTTTACTGGGGGGATAAATTATTCACAGGCATTTATTGTGTGGAATAGGGCCGAGGCAGCAGGTGTTTTAATGCCCTAACAGGATGTTAGTAATAAAACGCTAGTTATCGATTGTTAAGAGTTACTTTTATTATTCACAATGTCAAGTTCAAAGATCGTTTCACACATTTAACAGTGTATGCAATGTAGTTATTTTTGTGGGATTAACAGAAATAGCAGAAACTCTATATGTATGACGGCTAAGAATCACAAGATGGATAAACGCGGCAGCCAATGAAAACAGTTGTCACCTTTAGGCCACGCCCCCAAATAGTTGTGTCTTGGGAGCCGATTACTGAGCGTGTGATTTCAGCACTTTCACTTGGACATTTAAATACTTTCTACGAATATCATGAGCTTTTCCTCTCTGAAATTGACTAAATGTATCTTCTCTAGGTAAATTGATATTCGCAACAAAATCGCCATCACTTTTTGTTTACTTTATTTCCACTTTAAGACTGTCACATTCGATGTCTTTGGAATCGTTATACATGCAGCGCCATACAGGGCACAGTTGGCCCAGTCGCCTAAGGACGTGCAGAGTTGCGTCCCTTGGGCACGCCATAAATCTATGATTGTAGGTTCGAATCCTGGTTCGCCCCGATTATGTTTCTAGGTTTGTTAGCACTATACACGAGCTCGTGGGTTTCACGTCTGAGACCTGCATCACTTCGGGCTTTCCTCCCACATTAAGCTGACACGCCGCGATATAACTGGAATACTGTTAAAAGCGGCGTTAAACCCAACTCACTCACTCACTTACTTATCGCTTGGAAACAATTCACGTCCCATTAAGTACTTCATGTTGATATCGTGTTGGGCGACCTAACATTTTGTGAAACTGGTAATGACTGATGTCATTAATACTGACTTGTGTGGAGGAAGCAGTAACCGACACGCTCGTGTTGTGCTTGAAAACGCTACTGATCTGAGGCAATATAAAGTCTGTCAATAGGAAACACTAGCAACAAGGCGTGCGAAATTCCATGTATAGTGAGTGATTATGGTCTTACGCCGCTTTTAACAATATTCCAGCAGTATCACGGCGGGGGGGGGGGGGGGGGGGGTGACCAAAAGGGGCTTCATACATTGTACACAGGGTATCTATGGTGACAATGCTCCCAGGCGTATTATTATGGAATGGCGATAATCGCGATAATCGAGGCAACTTTGAGCTTGAATATTTTGTTAAGAAAAACACTTTGCAACAATGTAAGTTTGTGGCAGACAATTTCTCATTTTTCAAAAGTCTAAAGCATGATTTTTTTTTTCAAGAAATTCCTGGGACAATATTTTATTTCCATAACATCCCAGCCAACCACCCACAGAATATCAAATGGGTATGGGTATGGTTAAGACCAACCATGGTACCAGCGCCACACCACGATCAAAGAATCCTGGCACACGTCCAGACGTTATAATTTACCAAGCAACTGAAATATACAGACAGTTGTTATATTGTTAGCGTCGCCTTTTAATGTTACATTCTTCATGGGATATTGATTAAATTTAGGCCCACGCACGGTGTATCAAGAACGGGTGTATATTTTTAATGCGCAGTTAGACTATGGTGACCGTAACTTACGTTACGGCAGCGAGAAAGCGAAAACACGAGACGAGAAAGCGATAGTTACAGGCACAACGATTTCGCGTGTGCCATCGCTTTCTCGTCTCGTGTTTTCGCTTTTTCGTCTCGTGTTTTTTGCTTTCTCGTCTCGTGTTTTCGCTTTCATGTCTCGTGTTTTCGCTTCCATGTCTCGTGTTATCGATTTATTGTCTCGTGTTAATGCTTCCCCGTCTCGTGTTTTCGCTTTCTTGACTCGTGTTATCGCTTCCCCGTCTCGTGTTATCGATTTCTTGTCTCATGTTATCGCTTCCCCGTCTCGTGTTTTCGCTTTCTTGACTCGTGTTATCGCTTCCCCGTCTCTTTTTTTCGCTTTCTTGTCTCATGTTATCGCTTCCCCGTCTCGTGTTATCGCTTTCTTGTCTATTGTTATCGCTTCCCCGTCTCGTGTTATCGCTTTTTTTTCTCGTGTTACGCATCCCCGTCTCGGTTTCGCTTTCTTGTCTCATGTTATCGCTTCTCCGTCTCGTGTTATCGCTTTCTTGTCTCGTGTTATCGCTTCCCCGTCTCGTGTTATCACTTTCTTGTCTCGTGTTTTCGCTTCCCCGTCTCGTGTTATCGCTTCCCCGTCTCGTGTTATCGCTTCCCCGTCGCCTGTTATCGCTTCCCCGTCTCGTGTTATTGCTTTCTTGTCTCGTGTTATCAATTCCCCGTCTCGTGTTATCGCTTTCTTGTCTTGTGTTATCGCTTTCCTGTCTTGTGTTATCGCTTCCCCGTCACGTGTTTTCACTTTCTTGTCTCGTGTTATCGCTTCCCCGTCTCGTGTAATCGCTTCCCCGTCTCGTGTTATCGCTTTCTTGTCTATTGTTATCGCTTCCTCGTCTCGTGTTATCGCTTTTTTTTCTCGTGTTACGCATCCCCGTCTCGGTTTCGCTTTCTTGTCTCGTGTTATCGCTTCTCCGTCTCGTGTTATCGCTTTCTTGTCTCATGTTATCGCTTCCCCGTCTCGTGTTATCACTTTCTTGTCTCGTGTTTTCGCTTCCCCGTCTCGTGTTATCGCTTCCCCGTCTCCTGTTATCGCTTTCTTGTCTCCTGCTAACGCTTCCCCGTCTCGTGTTATCGCTTTCTTGTCTCGTGTTATCGCTTCCCCGTCTTGTTTTCGCTTTCTTGTCTCATGTTATCATTTTATCAGTCGTAATTGAAGTACGTTCAATGATATGGCTTCCTCTTCTCGTGTTTTCGCTTTCTCGTCTCGTACTATCGCTTTCTCGTCTCGTGCTATCGCTTCCCCGTCTCGTGTTTTCGCTTTCTCGTCTCATGCTATCGCTTTCTCGTCTCATGCTATCGCTTTCTTGTCTCATGCTATCGCTTTTTCTTCTCGTGTTTTCGCTTTCTCGTCTCGTGCTATCGCTTTCTCGTCTCATGCTATCGCTTTCTTGTCTCGTGCTATCGTTTTCTCGTCTCGTGTTCTTGCTTTCTCGTCCCGTGCTATGGCTTTGTTGTCTCGTGTTATCACTTATAGCGGCCGTAATTTAAGTCGATAATGCGAGGTCCGCTCTTTTTTAGGATCATGAATATGCGATTGCCTGCAGAATCGTTGCCTGTGAATTCAGCATGGCTGCATCAAGATATTGCTCCCCTCATTCCCCCCAGTATCCAGTGTAATTATATTGGTGCATGTTCACAGGTGTTCAGCCATACAGTGAGGCCAATATGAATATTATGAGGCCTAGATACCAGAGCCATTGTTTCTATGTAATTGGAGAGTAACCATTAACTGTTATTTTGATATACTAGTAAACAAAGTTAATAAAATCAACAAAACCATTTCCGTTATTCATGAGAAATCTCTGCTAAAAGCGAAGTCGATTGTACATTCCGACTATTTGACTTCATCATGAGCATGTGTTTATGAATCACTATCAAATATTGATGATACCAGGTATTTGCGAAAATGTGAGTGTATCCTGCTCCACCGGTGGCATCTGTCACACACACATGCAAAGGCAAGTCAATTGTTCACCTGACAAACACACAGGAATATATGGCACAAGTCAAAACAGGGATTTTCTTCGGACATTATTTTTGTCACTGATGCTCAAATTTGGAAATGTTCTCCACATGGCCAACTACAAAACATTTTGAAAGCTTCAGCCGCCTTGAATATTGTAACCTAGGTCAAACTAGTTTTGAGCACGAGTCGTATGATGCTCTTTGAAATCTTCGAAGAAAGAGCATGCTCGATTGTACCTCAAAAGTTGTGACACGTAGACACCAAAGGCTGAATCTGCTAGAATACTGCTCGAAATAACTGGAAAATTGAAATCTTCCCTCTTGTCACGAGAACCACCATAATTATATTTATTGTGTTTCCTTTATACTCAGGCCGTCATTGTCGCTGGCTGATGTTTCAGGCCGTCATTGTCGCTGGCAGATGTTTCAGGCCATCATTGTCGCTGGCTGATGTTTCAGGCCGTCATTGTCGCTGGCAGATGTTTCAGGCCGTCATTGTCGCTGGCAGATGTTTCAGGCCGTCATTGTCGCTGGCAGATGTTCCAGGCCTGTCATTCATCAACAGAACACACAAATAACAAAACCAGTTTTATTGACATACATATGGTACACCCCGCAATAATACAGGAATCTCTAGTCCTCAACTCTACCGGTAGCTACGGTTCTTTACATTGGAGTAGAAGTGAACACCGATCTTCTGTTTCCTGGAATCCCGCTCTAGACGTCGGCGCTGAAACACAAAAGTTGGTTGGTATCAGGGTTATCAAAACCTCATACAACAAAGGATCAGAACACTGAAATCGGACAAAGGCCCTGCAGCTCGAACTCATGTTAACCAACAACTCAGTCAACAACTGTAGTGCTGCAGAAAATCAGTTGTGGACAGTGCTATCAACAAGGTGACACATCCAAACCAGTACCACTTGATCTTAGCAGGATCTAAAACTAGTAAGGATATTGTCACCCATTGTGCCCCGAGGATCCCAAAAGAGGACACAGCGACATGTGAAATAGATAAACTTAGATACCATGACAGACTATTGACCTATTCTTCCCAGGAATCCCCACCAAAAGCTGATCTTGGCCTATCTGTTTCACTGTGCAGATGGAATGACCTTCACCTCAGTGGTGTGCACATGATATGACCTTGACCTCACAGTGAAGTCCACGTGGTATGACCTTGACCTCACAGTAACGGGGACATGGTATGGCTTTGACCTTACCTGTTTACTGTTCATTGGTTGCGGAGACTCCTCCTGAAGTTTTCGTTTCTTGGTTTGCTTTTTCTGTCCCCGTTTTCCAGGGTCTACCACGTCGACACAAGTCACTGCTGACGTCTCCTTCAGTTCGTAAAGACAGCCTTCCCCTTAACACAAGACACATCCTTAATATGTCATCTCAGCATTTCAGAGGACAAAACATCAGAGAGCAAGAACAGAGTGAGTGAACGAGTTTGGTTTTACACTGCTCTTAATTGTATCAGATAAAAATGTCAACTGATGCAGGCGTGTTCAATGGACATGGTAGTGACACAGATCATAATGAAGACGAATCGTAGATTCAACTCCTGGGAGCTAAGAGATGCACCTCCGCACACAACAAATTGACAGTTCATACTTAATGGCCCAGGATGACTTACAGAAGTTTTCTCCTGATTATCTTTGTAACTTTTATCTCCAAAACAACTACCTACCAGACATATCTTTGATGTCTAATGGATAGAAGGTTAACTTTCAAGATGCAAGCTGCAAATGTAACAAGCAAAGGATGCCATCAGTGGGATGGCTGAACACTCTGGTACACCCGAAGACAACATCCAACCAGTACGTACCCGTCTGAGCTGGTTTCCTGCGATCAGTACTCGTCTGTGCTGGAAGAGCTGTGACAGTCCACTTCCCGCTGGCCACACTGTTGACTTCAGACCCTGCTGGCTCCTGCCCCACTTGCTTCTTCTCCAGCTTCCCAGATTCAGATTTCATATCTTTGGATTCCCTTCGATTTGCCAATGATCTCTGTGTCTTCTTCCTGCCAGCTGCCCTCACATTGTCCTTGGCAGCATGAGAGGAGGACTTGTCCAGAACTGTACAAGATTCCTCACTTGATTGATTCTGTTCTCCTTTAGTCTCATCCACTGCCACATCTTCATCACTGTCCTCCCCAGCACTGTCTTCTCCAACACTGCCCTCCCCTTCACTGTCCTCCTCCTCTGCACTGCTCCCACCATCCTCCTGAATGTTGGCACCACAGGGATCCTCTTTAAGATCCTGCATCACCTTCGGCTGCTTCTTCCTACTGGCCTTCCCCTTGACCTCTGGTGTAGGTGTTGGTGTGTCTGTTGTCTCAGCTCTGCTGTGATCCTGGAACATGAAGTGAGCATCACATAATCACAGTATACAAATGTAGAGTTTTCTATTTCTGCTAATTTAAACCTACACATGATGTATGACAAACAAGAAAGAAAGAGCAAATTTATATACTTTCTATGTTTTACTTCTTATTCTTCTGATAACAAATTGAAAACTCAAAGAAGTAAGACAATTTAAATTGGAAGAAATTAAAAGAATTTTAATGTATATTTTGTCATACTCCTAATAAAAAAAAGAACATTCACCAACAGCCTTGACTTTACCTGTGACTCTGGTGGCCGGACGAAGTATGGGATCTTGCCTCGCTGCCAGTCGTTGAGGATCATTTTGGACATGGAGCTGACACCTGGCTCCGCACCCTGCAACACCCGCACCATTTGACAAACTCAAAACACAGCGCAGGACAGTATGATGCTGTGTGTGAGGTATACACATGCAACGTGTTTAAGATGATGTTCAGGATACATGGTCTAAAGTAATTACAGCAGAGCAATATATCCGCATTCAGCTGACCTCCTCTTTGTCTGCCCGTTGTTTGTTTGTTTGTTTAACACTGCCCTCAGCATTCCAGACAACACAGTGATTGACATCATGAGCATGATCTTTGCAACTGGAATACCATGACATGCATCAACCAAATAAAAGAGCCTGACAACTTGATCCCACTAGTAGCTCTTATGGCAAGCATGGGTTGCTGAAGATGTATTCTAACCCGGATCTTCACGGGTTGTTTTGGCCATTGTATTCATGTCAGTTTGACATTAAGCAACCTGCATGTATCTAAACATCTAGGCATGTTAGGACAGTAGTATTAGCCAACGCAATTTTGTCCAGAATTAAAGGTACCCTTAGACATGCTTGTTTGTTTGTTTGTTTAATGCCACATTCTGCAATATTCCAATCATACGACGTCACCCTAAAAATAATCTGGCCTGGACTTGGTTGAGACGCCCAACGCTAACACCGTATTCGTGGGTGCGTGATTCCTGTGCACCCTTTCGAGTTGAGTTGATTGGTTCAACTGTGTCATATGGCCCTGTGACGCAGGGGTAGCATTATGCAGATGGCTGTTGCTATGAATGCTCGTTCCATCCGTGACAAACAGGTCTGGTTGTTGATGAAATATAGTGATAGCTAAATGACAGATTTTTTATTCATGTACCGATTGTCTTTAAAGGTAATATCCAGTTATGTATGACTGTTTAATAATCTCATACCAACTTTGACTGGAGTAGGTCCGATAGTTTTTCAGATATTGTAGATAACGTCGGTACCTTAAATTACCTTACAGACTATAGATGTAAGGCCACTTTGAACAGTAAACAAGTTATATCATGGTGTGTCAGCTTAATGTGGGAGGAAAGCCCGAAGTTTTGTTAACCACTTCGGTGAAACCCACAAGCACGGGTATGTTGCTGAAAAACCTTGAAATATATTCAGGGCGAATTAGGATACGAGCCCATGATCATAGTTTTCTGGTGTGCCTAAGGGACACAACTCTGAACAGCGAATTGCAGCTTCAGACAACTGGACCACCCATGCCCCCTGGCCTAGTGTAAAGGTATACTGCGGGCTAGTAGAATTCGGAGTTCCAGGCTTTTGAATGGGTGTCAGTATTATATATATATTCCGGCTTGTAGACTCTCAGGCCTTATTTCTTTCCCTGGTAAGTACACACAGATACCTAGGCACTGACCTTCAGCAGGCCATCCTGACTTGCGTGCTATCTGTTCGATGAAGTCCTCAGGCTCCGCATGTAGTCCTCAGGATTCCGGATGTTCTCTACACGAACCTAGGGTGAAGAGGTCATATCAAAACAGGGCAGGTGTTACTAGCTTCAGTTACACTAGGACAGGTGTAGGCACCTAGCTTCAGTCATACTAGGACAGGTGAAGGGATCTAGCTTCAGTCACACTAGGACAGGTGTAAGCACCTAGCTTCAGTCTCACTAGGACAGGTGTCGGCACCTAGCTTCAGTCATACTAGGACAGGTGTAGGCACCTAGCTTCAGTCACACTAGGACATGTGTAGGGACCTAGCTTCAATCATACAAGGACAGGTGTAGGCACCACGCTTCAGTCACACTAGGACATGTGTAGGGACCTAGCTTCAGTCACACTAGTACAGGTGTAGGCACCTAGCTTCAGTCACACAAGGACAGGTGTAGGCACCTAGCTTCAGTCACACTAGGACAGATGTAGGCACCTAGCTTCAGTCACACTAGGACAGGTGTAGGCACCTAGCTTCAGTCACACAAGGACAGGTGTAGGCACCTTGCTTCAGTCACACAAGGACATGTGTAGGCACCCAGCTTCAGTCACACAAGGACAGGTGTACAAGGACAGGACAGTCATGCTTCTTATAGCATTATATGGGGACTCACCTCTAATTGAACTTCTTGTTGTGTAATCGAGGCTGACGTTTTCTCTTCTCCAGTCTTACAAAACAACCATACCACTGCTATAGCAACAACATCTAGTGCCCAAATTTTAATAGGACGACTATTCAATATTTGAATTATGCATTAGTTTCACCTTCCTCGCTAACGCACCCTTTCTACCAGCGGCGATTTTTCTGGGGTTCTTAGTAACTCTGGCTTGTGATTTCGCAATCGCTGGTATTTCCTCATTCACTTGTTGTGATTGTACAATTGCTGGTATTTCCTCGTTCACTTGTTGTTGCATCTCCACAATCTGTGGTGTCACTTGAGTCTCCATTATTATTAAGTGGGCACGTATGTTTAAATTGACAATTCCTAGCCGTTATTAAAGTGGTGGTCACCGGAGCCGATGAATGGGTCTTTCTCGAGAGATTCGCATAAATACGGGCGATGTTCTGCCGGGATAGGGAGAAACGTACTAGCTACGACTGTGTATAGTTGTGACATAGACGACCCTATTGTTTTAGTCATGGTAGCTCCCAGTCTAGACTCGTTAGGCACGTACAGTTTTTTAATTTCTTATCAATTTTTTCTATGGTATAATTTTCCCCCAAATATTGGGAACATTTTCCACTGGCTACCAAAGCAGCGAGTCTTTCTCTATGTTTATCTACATGTTCTGTATGTTGATCAGGTTCTTTGAGCATTTGTTCGATGAGTTCGTCACATTCCATAATGTAATACCTAAGGAGATATTTAAGTCTAACATAATAAAATATGGCATATCCAATACAGCCCATAATAATAAACTTTTGCGAAAGAATGAGGATTTCAAGCCACATTATTGCATAATAATAACCGCTAATGTTCAATTTATCGAATTTTTTGCTATTTTTGCTATATTTTTTGCTATTTTTGCTTAGCAGTTCCTATATTTGCTATAATTTTGCTCAGCAGTTGCTATATTTTTGCTAAGCAATTGCATAAGCAGCTGGTTGATCAGTTTTTAATACGAGTTTACAATGCTACATTGAAGCTAACAGTTTTCTGACTTTATCTCCTTTCATGGTGTTGTAACCATCTCCCAGACGACCTTTCTTTTGTAGTAAGACCACTCAGCAGGTTTTACAGTTGCTCCTCAGGTTTTACAATTGCAATTGTAAAACCTGAGGAGCAATTGTAAAACCTGGGGAGCAATTGTAAAACTTGTCATTTCTGCAGAATTTTCATCAATTAACTTAGTTTGAGTAAGGAAAATATCGTCATCTTCAGACATACTCTCTTGTGAACAGTCAATGCCATGCGGTACGATGCACGCGGTTCTTTCTGCACGTACAGCCCTCTTTTGCATGTGCAGTCCACGCAGCGGCCCGCGATAACAACTGTTATAAAGCGTGTCTCGTTATACCGCGCATATTTGCGACCCGTATACCGCGTAAATATAAGCTCCAAAAATGACATAGATTAATGGATAGCGGTTTATAAGTTGGACAAACCATTCCACCTCAGGAATGGTATGATTGTATAACCGGGTAGGCACAGAAAAGCCGAGGACGCGTAGCCTCCCCGGTTATACAATCATACCATTCCTTCGGTGTCATGGTTTCTCCATTACTTTCACGTAGACATTCCTCGAATGAATCTCGGTCTTTGCAATGAAACAGGGCTACCCATTTGGTCTGCTCTCTGAGATCTTTCAGGACAGTGTTGTATTTTTGAGTAAGTACCCAAAGGCTTTGCTGAGTATGCCGTCCGGAGAATGCTAAATATGAAAGCATATCTTTCTTTTTGGTGAATTCTTTACTCACACATACTCATAAACAGTCTTGTAAACGATCGCCCGGATCAACTTTGTACACCCCGTCGTCATTCATTACCTACTCTCGATAGTATGTTTTATTAATGCTTATAGTTGGGCACAGAATGATAATATGATCGAAAACGTTCCGATAATGACTTTCTAAAATATATAGAATAAAAGCTGTTTTTCCACAACCCTTTGCCCGCAGATGATAGTGCAGTGCAGTTCTTTAGGTAAAAGATTATCAATAGATCGCTTGCACGCATCGTCCATTCTGTATATTAAGTTGCGCAGCCATAATCACATATAAATATAAGTTTAATTTACCAGCCGATTCTGGAGCTTCGTTATCTGTATAGTGACACCCTCGCTGGCATTTTCTATTTTCTGCCCACTACCATGTAGTTGGTCATCGTCCGTTGTTCGCATGTCGAGCCATAGCGCATTCTTCGTGGTGAGGTATTCACCCAACGATACATCCCTTAGAGACAGATCTTTCGCGACCGTGTTATCTTCTGGGCTTCGTTTTATATAAGGGAGTTGTTTAATCTCATCCCATTGTTGATACGCTAGCATTCCTTGACTATATAGTTGATTAGGAACGCCCTCTATAGTCAATTCTACTTTGTAATCTCGGGATTGTAGAACTTCTCGGTATTTCTTTTAAATGCATTGGAGGGGTCCTCAAAAAACATTAAAATACCCTTCAACAATCTCGTGGGGATGTTTAGATTGATATTCCACGTTGTATCTTTTTTGCTCCTTATGATCTTTCGGTGTCGAAGCACGCGATCGTACAAAATAGCTAAACGTCCAGTATACTGGTTACGAATTTGTCTGGCTAATTCAGGATTTGTTATCATATCATACTCCAGTGAGATATTTTCAAAAGAATAACTAGCATCTTCAGCAGCTCTGAATACTCTACCATAGTCATTAAAAGTGAGTTCGTATTCTAACCTATCGCCTAGGGATGCTTGATAAAAGGGCATGTGACTATCTAGTAATTCAAAGTCTAGCCAAATATAGAATCGGTTACCTAATGCGCTGGCAACAGCGAAATCTTTTACGAGGGTATTATCACCATTATCATCACCCACACGCAGTCTCAATGTGTTCCGATTACAAATACCTTGGTACTGTAAGTTTTCCTGCTCTTTATCCGTTCTCCAGAGATCCATGTAACAATAGTATACATCGCTATCGTCAATACTCAAAACCTCATTACCACTAATTTTAACGTGATTTTCTTAATGATAGCACAACGTATGTTCCGAACATGCTCCCTGTTAACTTCGGCAGAAGTTAAACCAATCATAAATGCTAGTTGGACAGTTCCCAGAACTAACACATCGTGTGCGCCGAGATTAGGAAAGCAAACCAGAAGCGTTTGATTCTGATCAATAGTACTCGGGTTATTAGTTATAGTTACAGACTGGCGAATTGCTTTGACCCCTAATGGATCTTGAAGTCTACGTTGTGGGTTTAATTTGCGTCCGTATTGCGAAGACAGTGTTGTATTGAAATTATGTAACCTTATGTTTAATATAAAAATGGATGATTTTAATCTAGATAACATAACTCATACTGGTACAATCGAAGAGGGTACTGATGAAACCAGCTTAAATATAACAATGAACTTTTGAAACCAGCCGTTAATGATTATTATGATGCCTTAAAAGAAAGCCTAGTTTGTCGTGACTATTCAAAGTTTACGATAGATAGTAAAGGAATGTTGTGACTGAGTGGCTCTCTGGATATTGATCTTATGAATTCTTGTACTCGTAAGCCCTTAGCCTTGTCTACGAAAGCCAGTAAACATGGCATCAACATTGTTCGTAATGAATTAGGTTTTGTAAACTACTCACGAGAAAAACTTTCTGCAAAGACTACTAAGGTTCTTCAGACTGTGCGTGATGAATTCAGTAACATAGATAATTTGGAAGAAAGCTCGAAGCTGGCTCTGAGAAATCTTGGATACCTACTACGATAATTCCACGGTCAGTGTACCATCCTCGGAGTATTAGGGGTCTTGAAAAGGCAATGCAAACAATGCAGGGAGAACTCATCAATAATATAGCCAAGCTATCCGAACTCCACAAGCATATAGCTTATGAGAAAACAAAACTTGAACAGGCAGGTGATGAATTTAGTAGACGCCACATTGCAGAAAGATTGCTTAGCTTAGATGACAAAAGATCGGCCCGCCTGGAGGCTTCTTCCAGTAAAAGAAAGGCACTTTGTTCACAAATCAGTCGAGTTCGAGAAACTATCGATCAAGTCCCCAACGATGACACTACACTAGCCGATAAAATTAAAACATTGTTCAGAGAACAGGGGATAACCATTGCCAGTATTTTAAATGCATTGGGAATTATTATATCGACTTTGACTCTCGCGTTAACCGGTGGCAGTGGACCACCCACACACCCCAAACCCCCTAGTGATAAAAATGGTGTAAAAGAGTGGATAAAAAAGCATTTAAAAGCATTAGGTTCAGCACTGGGAAAGCTCGCTGGGAAAGCCGCGGCTGCACTTCCCGGTATAATAGGGAGTATAGTTTCCTGGCTCTTGAATTTATTAGCAAAGACCACCACTTGGCTTAGTCAAAACTTGTCGGCACTGATCGTAGCAATTGCAGGGCTGTTGTATGTATCCGCTAAAGACTATTTATCTAAATCAGTTCATTAAGAACTATTTAACCAAATCATGAGTAAACCACCTGCGACTCCACCAACTATAAGCGCTGTCTTTTCATCGATTTGTTGTTGATGTTTAGCTGCAATATCTGGTTGTGCATTAGTAGATGGTTGTGAAACATGTGGTGGCTGTGGCTAGACTATTCCCATTTCGTCTGTGTTTGTTTGCGTTATTAAAACGGTGTTAATATCTGAATTTAAACCTGGTTCTTGTTGATCGGTAGCAATAACAATTTTATTATTATAGCCTATCACTTGACCGATCTTAAGTTCCATATTACTCGGAGCCATGTATAATCCTGGTGCATAAACGTAGTCTTCTTTGGATTGAGCGTACCTTGATAACGTTTTATAGAAGATGGTATGTCAACTGGTGAGTTAATAGTATCCTCCACATTTACGACAAACTGTTTTTGCGCATCGAGCGCCGTCCCAGAACCAATAATGGACGTTCGTGTTTGCGAATGTTTACCAAGAATTGCCCATACATAAGTTTTTATTGATTCATAAACTCTTACAACTCCTGGGTTAGTAAAATTGTTTTCTGTTTTATCATTAAGAAATTCATTCCAAGCATTTCCAGGTGGTTGCTC